GTTCTGAAAAGACACACTCAAACTGGGACTCTAAGGGGAACTGGAATGGGGGGAGGAGTGTCAAAAAGGAACTTGAGTCTTTTCTGTAATGTTTTCATTCTTGGTAAGAAGAATCTATTCCTGGAATTTAAAATGAATAGATTTAGTATTCAAGGTAGTAGTAAAGGCCAGTGCAGGGAGGCCTGGAATGTTCTGGCCTTGCATTCTCTTTGAGCTCACTTAAGATTTTTCAAGTCAAGCCATGGGACCATCTGTTGCCTGATGAAATCGGGGCAAGGGGAGTTGGAAGACAGGTCCCCACCCGGCGTCCCCATCTGGCTGCATGACCTCAGGAGGGTCCCATCCCCTTTCCGGGCCTCAGTGTCTTCATCTGCCCTACGGGAATCAGGTTTCTGTGTTACTGGGGGGTGTGGGAGGATGAAGTGAGGGCACAGAGGAAGAGCAAATGAATATAAGGATTATTCTCTGGGTCAGGGGAGGAGAAGGAGGGGAGCCCTCCCCTCCACCTGCTAAGCCCACAAAGGCGCAAAGGAAGCAGAGGGAGGGGCTGGGGACCACCCAGGAGAGCAAATAGTCCATCTGTGGGACAGGGGCACGTTGTCAGCAGCTGGGAGGCCCGGCCTGGACTACTCACAGGCCAGAGCCCGTAAGGCAACCACCCAGGCTGCCTGGAGAATTGGGATGTTGAGCGGGCTTCTTGTTCCTCCCAGCCCCAGTGCAGCCACAGTCTTGCTGCCTCTCCAAGCCCCCATCATCACTCTCCCACCCTTAACACCCCACTCCCAGGGCTGTACCCCCCCCCTTTTAGCCCATCCTAGCCCCACAGCCAGAGAGTGCTTTCACAAAGTAAACTCCATCATGTCCCATACTTCCTCAAAACCTTCCAGTAGCTTCTCACGGATCTATGAACAAAATCCAATCCCCTTACCTTAGCCAACAAGTCCTGGCATGATCTGCCACTCCCACCGCCCACCTCCAGCCTAGGGGTTAAGAGCCTGGCGTCAAAGAGAATCTGCCTGGTTTGGAGTTCTGGCTCTTTTCTTCATTCATTCATTCAAAAATGTCTATTGACCACCTACTGTGCACCAGGCACTGTTCTAGGCATTTGGGATACATCAGTGACAAATGAGACGAAGATTCCTGCTCTTGTGGACCTTCCTTTCTAGCAGAGGGAGATTAACAGTAAATACAAGTAAGTTAATTACATAACACACTGGAAAGTGACAAATGCTATGAAAACAAGGAGAAAAAGTAGAGCAGAGGAAGTTGATCAGAGTACAGGGAGGGGCAGGGTTTACATTTTAAAATGCAGTAGAGTGGTCAGGGTAGGTCTCACTGAGAAGGTGAAATTTAAGCCAAGACTTGTAGCAAGTGAAGGAGGGAGACAAGCGGACTGAGGGCTGAGGGAAGCAGTAAGGAGAGAGGTGGGAAGTGCCTCAGAGAGGCAGGGCAGGGCAGGCAGGTTCTTGTGGGCCCCGGCAAAGAGTTTGGCTTTTACTAAGTAAGATGGGAGTTTTGGGGGTTTTGACCATAGGGAGTTGGGGAGGCAGGACAGGGAAGGAGAGGAAGCCAAGCAGGCCTTGCAGATGTCATGTGGATGGCAGCTTCAGCCTGATCCCACGGTGGGGACTGTGACGTGTAAGTTATACCTGAGTTATCCACCCACACCCGCACCCGCACCCGCGTCCCAGGCAAGGAAGGTGGGCTTTCATATCTCTGAGATAATGTGTTATAGCTTAGGGGGAAGCTAAGTCACCCCAGGAGGCTCCAGCAGCCTGTGGGCGGTCCTCCCTAAGGAGAGAAGCAAATGCTGGTCACTGAACGCATACCCAAAGATGGCACACAGGAAAAGGGGATCCTAGGGGGATGGGTACAGCATTGCCCTTGTTGGCTCCAGTCCCCAAACACCCAAGTCCCAGCAGCCATTCCCTTTTGGCCTGGGCTTAGGGTGGCTAAAGATTGGGGGCGTGCCCAATGTGACCAGGCAGGGTTTTTCTGGTTAGGGATCACCCTCCCAGGCCCCCCATCCCCAAACCCCTACCCGAGGCTGCAAAGGGATACATCTCTGCAATATCCTGACCATGTGGCAGTCTAGGCTTCCTTCTGGGATTTGAACTAGTTACCCTTGAGTTAGCTCCGTTCATCTTCGAATACTTTGGATTTTAGAAAGTTCTGCTTCGTGTTGAGTCTACTCCTTCATTCCGTAAACATTGGCTGAGCACCCACTGTGTGCCAGGCACCATTCTAAGTTCTAGAGACACAGCAGCGAACAAGACAGATACGGTTTCCGCCCTCGAGCTTACGGCTGGAGAGGGAGATGATTGGAGAAAAGGATAGCATTTAGGCGCAGAGATCGGGGAAGCTGGGGAAGCTGTGTGGGCCTAGAGGAGACTCATGACCCTCGGGAAGACGTGACACCAAGCTGATAAGTGGAGGTGTACCTGGACACAGGTACAAAGGTGCAGGAGAAAATTAATCCAAGCTAATGGAGGAGTGAGTGCAAAGGCCCTGAGACACTCCCCACCCCCA